GTACGGACTTGGTCAGGTCACTAAACCCTTGACCAAATTAAAAACAAAAGGGCCCAAAATCAGTCCGTACGCCTCCTTCTCTACCCAATTGGGTGATTTTGATTTTTTTGCCCTCTTCTTCTTCAATTTCTGCGTTATACATACATTTATACGCTTAAGCTTTGAGAGATTAAAAAAGCCAAAAAAGAATAAATTCTCCTTCTTTTTCTCAGCAACTTGCAACGATCGCTAATTATCCTTCGCCTTCACTCTCGTTTCGCTCTTTATTAACTCCGCATTGCTTCTCTCTCACTCACTCTCTTCGCCGGAGATACTTTTTTCTTTCCCGGAGGTAAAAAAGTAAGAAACTTTCTCGACTTCGATGATTTAAAGTTTGATACTTTCTCTGTTTTGATTTTATGGGTCTGTTTGATTATTCGGTTTTAAAGCCCTTAGATTTCAGGGTTTTTGCTTTTGTTTAATGTTTGTGTTGAAATTTCTGGGTTTTCTGATTTCAATGCTTGGGTAACTGTTTCATTGATTCGATGTTGTTGTTCTTCTTCTTCTTTAGATTTTTGTTTCTGCTTTTGTCGTGTGGGGTTAGTACAAGAATGCTTGTTGGGATTTTTGTTTTTTTCTGGGATTTGAGGTTTCTGTTTGATAGCTGAGGAAAATCCGTAAATTGGGTTTACTTAAAGTTTTCATCTTTTTTTGAGCTTCTTTTGGTTGATGATGAAATGTAACAGCTTTGATTTCTTCTGATAGTTGTAATCATGTCAAGGCCTGCTCAGCTTCCTCCTCGTTGCCCAATTCCAAAGAAACTGTCTTTGAATTCAGTTGGAGATACATATTACTCTTCTTCTTCACCTATTGAATCATACATTGGTCAATACAAGTCTTCCACTCAAGATTCCACTCTAGAGGATCAACCAGCTTGGCTTGATGAGTTGCTGCGTGAGAAAACAGACGGGATGTTCACTGGAGGAGGAGGAGGTCCTCTTCGGCGTTCAGCTAGCGATTCGGTTGTGCTTTTGGGAGAGATTTCAGAAAACTTTTCTGGTTTTAATCAAAGTGAAGATGAAGAAAGTTTGAGTTCTGAAGCTTGTGGAGAGTTGGAGTCAGCTTGTGTTTATGGTCCTAGCTCGCCAAGAGCGAGGAACAGCTCGAGCTTCTCTAACAATCCTATTGCTTCGGCCTTTTCGGATTATGGTTTTGAGAAAGTTACTCAGAACTCAGATGATACTGTGAATGGGATCAATCGTCCACCTGTGGAAGAGAATGCTTGTGGTTCAATGGGCGTGAAAAGGTGAGAGAACATTAATCTTCTTATGGCATTAGTCTCTAACATCATTACTTAATTGTAGGACCTTAAGAGTATTCTTTGTCGGATAATGATCCTAATGAACATATTTCATATGGGTGAGTCTAGTTTTAGTCCCTGAGCTCTAATGTGGTACCTCTGAAACTAGTTGTAGACCAAGATGCAGATATAACGGAATCAGTACTTCGGTTTCTGGTTTGTAAGTGAAAGGAAGATAGGAGCAAGAACTTTCATATCTCTGGTTTAGCCAATATTGCTTTGTAGTTAAAGATGGGTCTGTTATGATTACTACGTTGGCAACTATGTAGATGATA